CTCTGTGTGTGATGAGTCTATGGGTCTCTGTGTGGTGAGTCTGTGGGTCTCTGTGTGTGGTGAGTCGATGGGTCTCTGTGTGGTGAGTCTGTGGGTCTCTGTGTGATGAGTCTATGGGTCTCTGTGTGATGAGTCTATGGGTCTCTGTGTGACGAGTCTATGGGTCTCTGTGTGGTGAGTCTATGGGTCTCTGTGTGACGAGTCTATGGGTCTCCGTGTGATGAGTCTATGGGTCTCTGTGTCATGAGTCTATGGGTCTCTGTGTGATGAGTCTATGGGTCTCTGTGTGATGAGTCTATGGGTCTCTGTGTGGTGAGTCTGTGGGTCTCTGTGTGGTGAGTCTGTGGGTCTCTGTGTGATGAGTCTATGGGTCTCTGTGTGGTGAGTCTATGGGTCTCTGTGTGGTGAGTCTATGGGTCTCTGTGTGATGAGTCTATGGGTCTCTGCTGTGTGATGAGTCTGTGGGTCTCTGTGTGGTGAGTCTATGGGTCTCTGTGTGTGGTGAGTCTATGGGTCTCTGTGTGATGAGTCTATGGGTCTCTGTGTGGTGAGTCTGTGGGTCTCTGTGTGACGAGTCTATGGGTCTCTGTGTGGTGAGTCTATGGGTCTCTGTGTGTGGTGAGTCTATGGGTCTCTGTGTGATGAGTCTATGGGTCTCTGTGTGATGAGTCTATGGGTCTCTGTGTGGTGAGTCTATGGGTCTCTGTGTGGTGAGTCTATGGGTCTCTGTGTGACGAGTCTATGGGTCTCTGTGTGATGAGTCTATGGGTCTCTGTCATGAGTCTATGGGTCTCTGTGTGTGTGACGAGTCTATGGGTCTCTGTGTGTGGTGAGTCTATGGGTCTCTGTGTGATGAGTCTATGGGTCTCTGTGTGACGAGTCTGTGGGTCTCTGTGTGGTGAGTCTATGGGTCTCTGTGTGGTGAGTCTATGGGTCTCTGTGTGACGAGTCTATGGGTCTCTGCGTGGTGAGTCTATGGGTCTCTGTGTGATGAGTCTGTGGGTCTCTGTGTGGTGAGTCTGTGGGTCTCTGTGTGGGGAGTCTGTGGGTCTCTGTGTGGTGAGTCTGTGGGTCTCTGTGTGATGAGTCTATGGGTCTCTGTGTGTGTGAGTCTATGGGTCTCTGTGTGTGTGAGTCTATGGGTCTCTGTGTGATGAGTCTATGGGTCTCTGTGTGATGAGTCTATGGGTCTCTGTGTGATGAGTCTATGGGTCTCTGTGTGACGAGTCTATGGGTCTCTGTGTGGTGAGTCTATGGGTCTCTGTGTGGTGAGTCTGTGGGTCTCTGTGTGGTGAGTCTGTGGGTCTCTGTGTGATGAGTCTATGGGTCTCTGTGTGACGAGTCTATGGGTCTCTGTGTGGTGAGTCTATGGGTCTCTGTGTGGTGAGTCTATGGGTCTCTGTGTGACGAGTCTATGGGTCTCTGTGTGATGAGTCTATGGGTCTCTGTGTGATGAGTCTATGGGTCTCTGTGTGAAGAGTCTATGGGTCTCTGTGTGGTGAGCCTGTGGGTCTCTGTGTGATGAGTCTATGGGTCTCTGTGTGGCGAGTCTATGGGTCTCTGTGTGATGAGTCTGTGGGTCTCTGTGTGATGAGTCTATGGGTCTCTGTGTGACGAGTCTATGGGTCTCTGTGTGGTGAGTCTATGGGTCTCTGTGTGGTGAGTCTATGGGTCTCTGTGTGACGAGTCTATGGGTCTCTGTGTGATGAGTCTATGGGTCTCTGTGTGATGAGTCTATGGGTCTCTGTGTGACGAGTCTATGGGTCTCTGTGTGGTGAGTCTGTGGGTCTCTGTGTGGTGAGTCTGTGGGTCTCTGTGTGGTGAGTCTGTGGGTCTCTGTGTGGTGAGTCTGTGGGTCTCTGTGTGATGAGTCTATGGGTCTCTGTGTGACGAGTCTATGGGTCTCTGTGTGGTGAGTCTATGGGTCTCTGTGTGGTGAGTCTATGGGTCTCTGTGTGACGAGCCTATTGGTCACTGTGTGATGTGTCTATGGGTCTCTGTGTGATGAGTCTATGGGTCTCTGTGTGGTGAGTCTATGGGTCTGTGTGTGGTGAGTCTATGGGTCTCTGTGTGGTGAGTCTATGGGTCTCTGTGTGATGAGTCTATGGGTCTCTGTGTGATGAGTCTATGGGTCTCTGTGTGGTGAGTCTATGGGTCTCTGTGTGTGTGATTCTATGGGTCTGTGTGTGTGTGAGTCTATGGGTCTATGTATGATGAGTCTATGGGTCTCTGTGTGTGTGACGAGTCTATGGGTCTCTGTGTGTGTGAGTCTATGGGTCTCTGTATGATGAGTCTATGGGTCTCTGTGTGATGAGTCTGTGGGTCTCTGTGTGATGAGTCTATGGGTCTCTGTGTAACTAGTCTATGGGTCTCTGTGTGGTGAGTCTATGGGTCTCTGTGTGATGAGTCTATGGGTCTTTGTGTGATGAGTCTATGGGTCTCTACTGTGTGATGAGTCTATGGATCTCTGCTGTGTGATGAGTCTATGGGTCTCTGCTGTGTGATGAGTCTATGGGTCTCTGCTGTGTGATGAGTCTATGGGTCTCTGCTGTGTGATGAGTCTACACACACAGAGACACACACAGAGACACACACAGAGACACACAGAGACACACACAGAGACACACACAGAGACACACACAGAGACAGAGACACACACAGAGACATACAGAGACACACACAGAGACACACAGAGGCACACACAGAGACACACACAGAGACACACACAGAGACACACACAGGGACACACACAGAGACACACACACAGACACACACAGAGACACACACAGAGACACACACAGAGACATACAGAGACACACACAGAGACACACACAGACACACACACAGAGACACACACAGAGACACACACACAGAGACACACACAGAGACACACACAGAGACACACACAGAGACACACACAGAGACACACAGACACACACACAGAGACACACACAGGGACACACACAGAGACACACACAGAGACACACACACAGACATACAGAGACACACACAGAGACACACACAGAGACACACACAGAGACACACACAGAGACACACACACACAGAGACACACACAGAGACACACACACACAGAGACACACAGAGACACACACACAGACATACAGAGACACACACAGAGACACACACAGAGACA